TGTCTGTAACAAAATTCAGAGAATAAAAAAGAAACAGAAGAATACAAATATCCTAAGTAATCAAACTGTAGTTAAGTCAGAGATGGATTGATGAAAACAAAAATTAGTGTTTTTATTATGCAGTTTGTAGGTATGGGAAAACACAAAGGCTCAGAGTAAGTCAGAGTAAAGCATTCCCACACAATGGAGCATAGCTTCCATATCATTATTGTGGAGCCCCAGGGAGAAACATAATATATCACTTCTTAAATTTATGCATACATATCATGTATAAGTAAATACTACACATAAAAATTGCATTTCAATTTTAAACTTTCTATTTCAAATCCTGATCTGTTCCTCTATATTGAATGAAATTATTTCTTGGGTCATTTAATTTTGCTAAAGGGTGATTCTGGACAATCAAGTGAATGTGACAAAAATATTTTCTTAAAATTTTAACTTGGAAGAATGATACTAAAATGGTTCTGGTAATATTAATGAGTGTTTAGATAAAGGCAGACAGTTAGAGAGAAAAGTCTATTCTGACAAAGTAAGCCATAGGCATCATCTTTGTTTGGGAGAGTTAAATAGAATTGAAAATAATAATAAGAAGAAAGAGCATGGGGACAAGATATTCATTCATTCATTTATTCTTTAGACAGGGGAAGAATATTTTATGTTGTTCATTGTTCTTGTGTTCACAGACTTTTTAATCAGGAGGAATAAACACAAAGGCAAAAAATTAAAATGATTTGTATGTTGTTGCAACAAAATTTTTTAAAAGAAAAAGAAAAAAGTATACCCAAGTCTACCCAGAGTATCAGGGAAGGCCTCAGAAAAGAGAATTGGAATGAGGGGTTTGCAAGGGCCAGGGTCTATTTGAGAAGCTGCCAAAGAACTATTTGGCCTGTGCTTTACATTCACAGCAGACTCAGGATATGATCTATGTCTTCAGATGAAGCATATGTATGGAATCTGTGTATACTGGTATGTGTGTATTTTCCAAGTATGTTATTTTGTTCTATATAAGCGTTTTAAATATACTGCATTTTAAACCCTCTTGATAGCTTTTGACCTTTTTAATATAGTGGTAGTTGTCTCCAAAATTGGAAGAGACCCAGACGCTTACAACTTCTGTAAAGTCCTGGGCTATTTATTTGAGAGAGGGTCTCATGCCTCACCGTAGCCTCCACCTCCTGCGCTCCAGTGATCCTACCATCTAAGCTTCATGAGTAGCTGTGACTATGGGCACGCACCACCATGCCCAGCTGATTTTTAGTATTTTTTTGGAGAGACGGGGTCTCCCTCTGTAGCCGAAGTTGGTCTGGACCTCCAGGACGGAAGCAGTCCTCCCCTCTCAGCATCCCAAAGTGCTGACATTACAGGTGTGAGCCACTGCACCCAGTCCCTTTTTTCCCCCTTTGGGAGTGTTATTTATCTTATAGAAATAGATGTGAACATAATTAATGCCAACATAGCTTTCAGTTATCTCACAGGCCAGAGGAAGTTTCTAGTTGTTCATTGTAGAACAGTCACCTTTCCTATGTATAGTCACTGTATATGGTTGTCACAATGCACCCGATACCATCCCTTTCTACCCACTTCTCTTATTCCACTTTCTTTATTTTAGATAGATTCTAGCTCTGTCATCCAGGCTGGAATACAGTGGTGTGAACTCAGCTCACTGCAACCTCCATCCCCAGGGTTCAAGCAATTCTCATACCTCAGCCTCCCAAGTAGCTGGTATTACAGACATGCACCACCATGCCCAGATAACATTTTTGTATTTATAATAGAGATGGGGTTTCACTATACTGGCCAGGATGGTCTCCAACTCCTGACCTCAAGTGATCTGTCTGCCTTAGCTTCCCAAAGTACTGAGATTACAGGCGTGAGGCACTGCACCCAGCCTTCCTTATTCCACTTCTAAAACTCCATTTGTAGAACCTCCACCTTTCTTAAAAAGTATACTCCATAAGAAATGAACATGACTTAGCCTAAGACAGAATGCATCTACTCACTCATGAGATGAATTTTGAATGAACAATCTCTGATATTCATTAAACAATATTTGGATGATTACTAAGAAGCAAGCAATATTCCTGGATATGCAGTAAAAAAGATAGGGAAAAAAATCCAATGTATCCTAATGGAATTTATAATTTAAAGTATATTTTTACCTGCTGTTTATATAATTTTCAATACATAAAGAACTTGATCACTAATTAGTATTTTGATAGTATATTCTGTAAAAAAAAAAAAAAAAAAAAAAAAAATGATAACAATAAAAAGCAATGAATGGCCTTCCTGCCAGCTCTCTCATTGGGCTAGGTTTAGAATAAACATATAGAAATGGTTGTATGATGAGGGTAAGAATTTTCTCAAGAAAACTATCATAATTCTTTGCAAAATTATTCCCCCCGGTAAGAAATTCTTTGTCAGTAACAGTGAAAAGTAATATAAATTCTAAGGCAATATTTCCACAGTTTTTACTGTTGGAAATTCACTTGCAAATATGTAACTCTTCTCCCAAGGTAGAGTTCTACTTTCCCAAAGAGGTACTTAGACAGGCTGCTGGCTTCAGTACTGGAACACTAAATAGTCAAGCTGGCTTTGAATTCTCACGCTGCCCAGCAACACATTTGTTTTCTCAGAGTCTATTTAGCCTAGCAGGAGATGTTATGATACCACTGAGAGCCAAGCTGCTACCCAGCAATGTAGGATGTTTGCCACAACTTCCTTAATTACTTCAGTTCTGCATATGGCTGAGCATTTACTGTGTGCAAAGAAGCTATGACGTATGAATCCTTTTGTGGCTGGACCTAGATTTTAGTCTTTTTTTTATGAGCAAGGGAAGTAGGTAAAGACATGGCAGATGAGGGGGAAAAAAGTAAATTCCCTTAAAAGGGAAATTTCACTCACTAAGAGGTAAAGTGAATGCATGTACAACTACATATAAAGATATATAGACAATATTAGCTATTTAGCAATGCTTTTTTAATAGCATGAAACCAAGAATTGTCTTTCAGTAGAATCTCAATATCAGCTCCCATTCTCAAATTTCCTGCTGATTTTAGAAAGGCACATGAAACCTGGCTACAGGGTATATATTTCCAACCATGCTTACATCAAAAACTGGCTAGCTGACTAAATTCTGGGCAATGAGAGGCACACAGAATTAGTATATGCAACTTTAAAATCTCATCTTTATGAAGAAAGCTATTTGTTTTTCACTTTCTCTTTCTATTCTTATGTTCTGGAATATAATTGTGGTAAAGTCAAGAATTTTTTCCACCTTCAGTGGTGAAAGACAATGTCCCAGAAAATGGTACAGTAAAAACAGGGATTTGCATATGTATACATACATGCATATCTATATATATGTAAGCACATAATAGGATATTAATTTGTTTGTTATTTGCAAATTGTTGTGCTCCTCACAAAATTAAAATATGTATTTTTTATAAGAATTGTTATACTCTACATAACAGATTTGTTTTAATACATATTCTTTTCTTGTTTTTGTAAGACAATAAAAAGTTCTTATTAATCATTATTTCTTGATGCAGTATGTTTTCAAAATACTGTTTGTAATCACTTGCTAATGCCTTATGTTCATATTGTTTCTGCTCTGAAAAATTCTGAATTTAGATACAAATTCAGAATAGTAAAATTGTTAAGACACCTTTTTGTGCCTACATTATTTTTGGCATCCTGGACTGTTGATCGATAAAATAAAAATGTTTTTCTTGATCTTGTTATTATTATTATTTTTTGAGACAAGGCCTTGCTCTGTCACCCAGGCTGGAGTAGTGCAATCATGGTTCACTGCAGCCTCAACCTCCTGTGATCCTAGCATGACAGCCTCCCGTTTTTTTAATTTTAATTTTTTTTAAGGGTAAGAGAAAGGATAGGGAAACCAAAAGTTACCAGGTTTGATATTCTCTAAATTTTACTGAGTTTAAAAATATCAGAAGAACTCTTTTCTATTACCTATTCATAAAGTAATAAAAATAGAGTTTAAAAAAATTCTCATATTTAAGAATAAAACCTAGCATAATAACTGTCTACAAAATATTTACTTCCAAATATCTAGTTTTAAACATTATTGTCAATCAGAAAGTATCGATGGGATAAATTAAAGGCCCTGTAGTTATGTTAATGTCCTCATGATTGCTTTCCCCTTTGCAGGTCACTATCACTGCAGCAATCTGAAACCAGCAACCTCCTTCCCATACTTAAGGAACGAAAATCTCTCTATTGGTTAACCTCTTAGAAAATTATCTATACCCTGTTCAAAACTTCTGCAGACTCAATGGAATAATTCTGATTCAATTTTGTTAGTTAATAGATCATACTGAAAAACCCAAACTGGGAATTGTTCAACAGATACTATTACCACAGATTCAAGTTTATTTTTTAAATATTAGCTCCCAGAAGTTAAATCAATGCCAATGGCTGAGTTAATTGCCTTCTACTGAGCCTGCCAGGTAGCAAAATGAAAAAGAGCTGTTATTTATACAAATGTTAAATATGCTCTAGAATGCTTTAGTCTTTTTTTTTTCCTTTTGTTTTCAGTATGGATTGAGAATTTTCTTTGCTGGTAAATTGTATTTTACTAGAACTTTTTTTTTTTTTACCCTTTTTTTTTTGGAGACAAAGTCTTGCTCTGTCACCAGGCGCCAGGCTGGAGTGCAGTGGCATGATCTCGGCTCACTGCAACCTCCACCTCCTGGGTTCAGGCAATTCTCCTGCCTCAGCCTCCTGAGTAGCTGGGACTATAGGCGCACGCCACCGCACCCGGCTAATTTTTGTATTTTTAGTAGAGACAGGGTTTCACCATGTTGGCCAGGATGGTCTCGATCTCTTGACCTCATGATCTGCCCACCTTGGCCTCCCAAAGTGCTGGGATTATAGGCGTGAGCCACCGTGCCCGGCCATTACTGGAACTTTTATTTAAAAATGTTGAACACTGTTTTCAACATTAGAGAGTAAATGGACTTCTAAAACCAAAATAGAGACTAAATGGACTTCTAAAATTGGCAAAAGCTATAAGAAGATTAAAAACTGCATTTGTCAGGTCAGGTGCGGTGGCACACACCTGTAATCCTAGCACTTTGAGAGGCCAAGGTGGGCAGATCACAAGGTCAGGAGATTGAGACCATCCTGGTTAACAATGGTGAAATCTCATCCCTACTAAAACAAAATTAGCCTGGTGTGGTGGCATGTGCCTGAAGTCCCAGCTACTTGGGAGGCTGAGGCAGGAGAATCACTTGAACCTGGAAGGTGGAAGTTGCAGTGAGCTGAGATCGTGCCACTGCACTTCAGCCTGGGTTACAGAGCGAGACTCTCTCAAAAAATCAAACAAACAAACAAACAAAAACTGCATTAGTCAATATGGTGGCCACTAGCTATCTGTGGCTATTTAAACTTAAACTTGAATTAATTAAAATAAAAATGCAGTTCTACAATTGCACCTGCTTTATTTCAAGTGCTCAATAGTTACATGAGGCTAATAGCTACAATATTAATTAACATGAGAATATTTTCATCATTATAAAAATTTATATTAGAGAATGCTATCTAGAACTTTCACGGCTTTCTATTAGCCTTGCTCTTTATGAGTTAAGAAAAGTCTACCCCATACCCTGTTAGAATCTGTTTGATCAGAGATGCTATACTACAGCAAACTAATATAGATACCAATAACACTTATATGAACAAAGCCTAATAGTTAAGCCAGAAATAAACAGCTTTTTTAAGATAGATGCATAAACAGCTCCTGTAAGATTTGAGGTGGGGGGAAAGGAGAGAGACAAGAAGAAAGAGTGAGAGAGAGAAAGAGATCTATCCTTCAGCCTCTATGGAAAGTATTTTATCACACTATTAATAATGATCATTAAGAAAAATGTTATTGATATTGTTAACAATTTGCAATAATTTACACAGCACTAAAACTCCAAGAAATTGATCCTTGGATTTATTTTTTCCATTTAAAAGACATAGCCATCCTCTCTGCTTCATTGAGCTTGCGCCCTATTGGGAAACTTCCAGCTAAGCAGCCTTCAGAACTCCCAGAATTCAAGTAGCCAGGGAGTTATGACCAAGACTCTCTTAACATTCACTTTAGTTTTACTAAACTTATTAGACAGCTTTCTTCCAGACACTAAGCCCCCAACCTTCAGTTTCCTAGTCATTTATATTAGAAAACTTTCATTACAAATCCCTTGTTAGCCCCTTTAAAATGTAAATCTTTTTAAAGCCTCTTGCTAGTTTTACAATCCAGGAATGTCTTTCTCAAGAACTTGGAAGCAATTTATTTCAAATGCAATTATTGAAGGAGCCAGACCCCCCATCTCCCAGTCTCTGTGGGAGAGTAAGAGCCTAACTTTGGTAGGCCCCTTGATCCAACTTGTGAAATTGTCTCTTGTCATGAAGATACAATAAAATTTAGTTTTTGTGTAAAGCAAATGAATAAACACCCAAGGCCAGCCTAAGAATCTCCTCTACCCTAGCTCTTAAAAACTCTCCATGCTGGCTGGGCACAGTGGCTCATGCCTGTAATCCCAGCACTTTGGGAAGCAGAGGTGGGCAGATCAGAAGGTCAAGAGTTTGAAACAAGCCTGGCCAACATGGTGAAACCCAGTCTCTACCAAAGATACAAAAAATTAACTGGGCATGGTGGCACACACCTGTAATCCCAGCTACTCAGGAGGCTGAGTCAGGAGAATCATTTGAGCACAGGAGATGGAGGCTGCAGTGAGCCAAGATCTCGCCATTGTGCTCCAGCCTGAGTGACAGGGTGAGACTCCATCTCAAAAACAAAACCTCTCCATGCCATCACCACCACAGAACTGGGTATCCAGTCTTGATATGTGCTTTCTCCCCTATTGCTGCAACAGTATCTGCTTACTAATCTTGTTCAGTGTGGTTTTTCTTTTCCAATAGATAGCTGATTCAAAGATTCAGTTTAGATGACAACACAAAGTAGATAATTTCCAACCAAGAAGTGAAACATAAATTTTCCAATACGTTTATGCTTTTTTGCCTCTTTTCTCTAATACTAATCTTCTCTGTTATACTTCTGTGCTCTCTGGTAATCAATTAAAGAGTTTTCAATATGCTCCACTGTACTTCCATCCCCATAGTCTTCTAACTGCCACTTAAAACAAGACAAGACTCTTTTATTATTATTTTTCAGATAGTAACTACTGATCTGAACCTAATGATTGCTGATGTGTCAGTCTTCACCTGATCCGGCCGCTCAAAATTCAACTACTGTTCTTTAAATTCTTCAGAAGGTTGATTTTCTTCTCCTTGTTCATTCAAGTCCTTAGATTTTTCTTTCACTATTAATTCAAGTTTTGATTTCATTATAAGTAGATTTTGATCCTATGCCAACAAAATGCTTCTAATGAGATCAGCGCAGTCCTTTCATCAACACTCGGTTTGATAAGACTGGAAACTAATAGTGAAGTGGCTACATTTTCTGGGGTAGATACCCAGGGTTCGTTGTCTCCCGCCAGGAAAATTTAGAACACAGACACACACGAGGGGTTCAGGAGCAGAGGTGTAATAGGTGAGAGAAAGAGAAAGGAAAATAGCTCTCTAGTGAAGCAGTGGGGACTTCCCAGAGTAAAAGGCCAGCTAGCTGCAGATGTGCCAGGTCAGGTTTCAGGAGGCTGTGCCTGATTTACATAGGGCTCACAGATTGGTCCATCAGGTATCACGTTTACCTAGTGCTCGGGAATACTGGACGCCCCGCCCTGATTCTATTATGCAAATGAACTTTCCCCATCGGCCAGGACTATCTTGCCTGCTCCTGACTGTACATGTGGTGGACAAAGAGAAGGGAAGATGGAGCTGCCATCTTGAACATGACTGGCACAACGACTGGCATCTATGTCTGCAGCAGCTCGATTTTACAGGCTGCTCTTTGTTAGGAAGGAAAATAATTTGTGCTGCTTTTCGTTTGTATAAAGGTAAAGGAAAAGCTTACTGAGACTTCTGTACCCTCACTATCTGCCTAAGTAATTTCTTCTTAACTCCTGTATCAACAGCAGGACTATCTTTTTATGCCACACTCAGCTTGTTACTTTGTAAGTTCTATTCATCTTCACTCAGAAAATCTGTTCTCCTTAAGGTATAAAAGGTTGTTTCACCTGCTGCCATAAATTATTTTTATATTTCTGCTACATTCTATATCCTACAGTACTGTTTATTCTACAAACACCCACTTTTCTCTGAAAACCCAACAAACCGGTTTGTAATTCTCCAGTGTTGTCACGTCCTATTGAGGGACTCTTTCTGGGTCCGCAAGTGGCATGGCTTCATAGGCAGGAGTTTCCTGGCTCCACGCCTCCATCCAGAAATATAAAGTTCTTTGTCTGGGTTTCCCACTGGGGCTAGGTAGAGAAATCCCGGCGAAGCCCCTTTGTCTCAAAAAACCAACCCAAAGCTCTGGGAGGAGGGGACTCCAAAACTCAAAGTTGTGGACCAAGCAGCCAGTCCGGTATCAGAGTCAAAGATCAATCACTCCAGAGGAAGTCTGAAAGAACTCCTCTCATTGGACAAGAACATGAATAGGGAGGGAATAACTCAAGGGTTAAAATTCAGCTGCTCCTTACCTGAACGAATTCCTTCTCTGGGTTCCCTCCCACAACAGCATGGGAGCTGTCTTTCTTTCTCTATCTAATCAATCGCTTTTCCACAAAACTCTTTGAGCCCATGATATTTATTCAAACGGCAAACTCACCACGCCTCCAGGGTCCCTTTCCCGGTTCTTCAGGGTTAGTGAGGCTAAGAACATTTTGGGAACCAGGAGGGAACTGAGTATGCTCTGGTTACGCTATTACATTAGCCCTTGATTTTCTTTTGGCTAGGTGAGAAATACAGCATACTATAGCAAAAACTTCTTGCTGCCTCTGTATGGGACAGTCCACTAACAGGCCAGTTAAAACAAAAACCGAAAACACTTTGCTGGGTGTGGTGGCTCAGGGCTGTAATCTCAGCACTTTGGGAGGCTGAGACGGGCAGATTGCTTTGAGCTCAGGAATTCAAGACCAGCCTGGGCAACATGGCAAAACCCCAGCTCTACAAAAAATGCAAAAATTAGACAGGCATTGGTGACTTGTGCCTGTAGTCCAAGATACTTAGGAGTCTGAGGCTAAAGAATTGCTTGAGCATGGAGGCAGAAGTTCCTGTGAGCTGAGATCAGGCCACTGCACCCCAGCCTGGGCAAGAGTGAGACCCTGTCTCCAACAACAACAACCTGACTCTGAAAAAGGTCCGTCTGAACTGTGGAAAACGGTTTGTAGTCAGAGTTTGGTCATCTAGGCCTCTGACTTCTATTATAAAAACTAATAGTCATTTTGTTTCTGCTAAATGCCAGTACTGCAGGTAGCTAATGAGTTCTTCCTAGAGTTCTAAAAGTTACTTTGTAGCCATTATCAAATTAGTTTGATAACTTATCCTGAACTAGGAAATACTAACTTTAATTAGAGAAAATATTACATGCACAGCTGTTTGATTAGCAATTTCTCAGCAATCCCTTACAGCCTGGCTTTATCAGCTCTTGGCCCAAAAGCTTACCAAGACAGAAATAAAGAAAAGAGAGGAAAGAAAGACAAAGAAAAAAAGAAATAGCTCCGAGAGCTGTCAGCTAATAGCTGACCCAGCAGCTACCAGCAAGGCTGCGGTATTGCCCTGCTGAGCACCATCGCCATCATACAGTATCAGCATCTGATGAAAACTCTTGCAACTATGAAGACAGTTTCATAGTCATGACAGAACAAGGATAAAAACAAACTCTACTGGCCAGGCATGGTGGCTCACACCTGTAACCCCAGCACTTTGGGAGACCGAGGTGGGTGGATCATGAGGTCAGGAGATCAAGATCATCCTGGCTAGCATGGTGAAACCCTGTCTCTACCAAAAATACAAAAATTAGCCGGGCGTTGTGGCACATGCCTGTAATCCCAGCTACTCGGGAGGCTGGGGTTTGAACCTGGGAGTCGAGGTTGCAGTGGGCC